TCGCGGGTGCGCGCAATTTTAAAGCTTGACATGTTTGGTGTCTATTTAACCGACGTGACCCGATCTTTTATATTTGACCAAAAAACTGGGTAATAATAAATGTTTCCTAACATAATGTTAAAAAAACGTTTTTTTTTCAAAATTTTCAGTAATTTTTCCTAATTATAATAAAAAATAAAAACCCCAGTGGTGATGAAATACCACCAAAAGAAAGCTCTGTCTGTCCCCAAAAAATGGTGTAAAATTCATTTCAGTACAGCGTTGCATGACGGAATAAACGTCAGTCAAAGTATCGCAGCGCTGAATACTGAAAAATGGCCTGGCCAGGAAGGGGGTCTAAACACCTGGTCTTGAAGTGGTTAAAACACTTGTTATGAAAAAGTTTCATTTAGTGGTATTAGTTTAGCTGCATTCAATAAATCTTTGTAACCACAGTTGGAAGAATCCAGTTCAACAATATGGAAATTCAGTACTGTCGCCCACAAGGAGGTATGTTTGCTAACAGGGTCATTGTGCACCCTGTTAAGTCCACTTTAAAAGTTTATGAATTAAAACTGAATAGGGCTGATACAGTGAACAACGACCTGTCACTATGCAGTTTGTCAGGCATAAGTCCAAAACCATAATTTATTATAGACTCGGTTCCCCTAGACAGACAGCTTGGCATATGTTTCAAGCAAACTTGTGGGCAGAACATATTTAGTAATTTCTCACCTAATTTGCATAGCAGATGCATGCAGGTGCTAGCAGATTTGCTCTGCTTTAATCTAACGTGCCTCTGAAGCTCTTAATTACTATTTGGCGGGCTACTAAGTTTATGAATTTATGGCTACCTCCTGCATCTCGCTATTGGTCAGTGTGACCCCCCATTGCAGGGATGGTCCGGTAGTATGTTTTGGGAACACCACCAGAACTGGTCGTTGTTTGCAAACATAATGTCAGCAGCTTTTTGTCTCCTTGGCAAATGAGGGGAAAGTTGACCTACTATACACTTAAGAAGCAGTTGTACCCACATTTCACTTTAAGGAACTAAGCAGAAACTTTTTCACATAATAGATTCCTTTGACTTTGCGAAGTTTAAAGCAAGGATATTTCCTTCCAAGGCACACGTTAATTTATTTTCCAGGGCATATGCCTTGCCTTTGTGGAGTACAAAATGAAATCTTTGTTTTCCAGCAGTTCAGATGTTCTGCTGCTATCTTAGATGTGAAGTGTTCATTGTTCCATGTCTATCTAAACACTGGTGTCATTTCAAGACAATGAGCCGAGTTCTTTGAATAACACATAGTAACACTGTTAGTTACATTTTCTGGAAGGAAGTGGATGGAGACTGCACTGCTAATAAATCAGACTATCTGTCGAATGTGCTTCTCCTCTTGTTTTATTCAGGTGGTAGTGAAGTATAAACAAATAGCTGTGCTGAAAAGCTCTTGGTATTGATCCCACATGATTGAATGCTAAGGCAGATTGGAGAGTCAGAGCATAGACTTCTTTTCTTCAGCCTTAGCCAGACCTATTATTGAGAACTACGGGATATAGGAGATGAGAAGCACCTTTTAGCACATTCTCTCTTTTAAAAAAACCTGTAATGTTTAATTGCAATAATGCATACTCTGTCATTTTCTGGTTCATTCAGTAATGAGAAAGGTGCAGTAACCCATCAATTTTATAGTTACATATATAGTTATGGTATTTGAGGTTGAATAAAGAGACCGGTCCATTTTCATTCTTCTTTCTGCTCTAAACTGTTAAAATGCGGTTGGATTGGTATTGTATATTGCAATTTGCATACTTTTTTGTACATAAAGGGGAACTGAAGCCAACACCTTTATAGTTTTGGATAGAACAGAGCAGGATTAGAACATCTGTCATGTTTTTATTGCGGTCTGTGTGGAGATTTCTCTCTATTTGACCTGGTGACTGTTATTACTTAAAGTGAAACTGAAAGAAAACCCACATTTTGAGTTATCACCAGAACAGGTATAGAAGGGTAACCTTCCAATGGGGACACTAGTTCTGGGGACCCTCCTGACCACCAGGGATTTTCGTATCTTTGGAGGGATTTCCTCTCACTTCCTGTTATGACACAGGAAATGAAGGGAAATATCCCCAGTGGGACACAGATGGTGAACAAACTGACAGAGGTGATATCGCTCCCTTACTCTATTCAAAATGTTAAAAAAAGTTTGGGTTTAGTTTCACTTTAAAGGGGAGCTCTGTATTCTTGTTAAGAGTTATCACTGGTATTTTTGCAAGTAATTTTGACCTGTCAGATTCATGTTTATTTCCTGGTCTGTATTTCCATTATGATGTGTCATACTCAGATATTCCACTCTTTCTGAGCAATTTGAGCGATAAAACAAACAGCAGGATAAGCCATCAAGAGGCTTTATTGTTTTCAGTCAATTTTGCCAGACTGATATACTTGCACCCAGAGTGGAACAGGAAAGCACAATTTTTGTGCAGCACCACCAACCAGAGTGAAATTTATCAAAACTGGAGCAGACAAAATTTGGAGCAGTTGCACATGGCAACCAATCAACTTCTCTATTCAGTTTGTTCAGTTAAGCTTTGAAAATGATAGAGAAGCTGATTGGTTGCCATGGGCAAACTGCTCCAGATTCAGTCCGCTCCAGGTTTGATAAATTCCCCTACCAGTATATAAATGTAATGAGCAAATATGGCTACTGCCACTATACATTTAAAGTGGTAAATAAAATAGTCAAGTTTTCATTAAATGCTATAAATAACATTTTTAAAACATTAATACATATACTGATAAATTGCTTGTATTAAACTGATATTCCTTTTCAGGCAGCTTTAAATAAGCTCTGGATGATCTTCAATACATTTTATTAAATATGTATGTTACTAGGTAATTGCATCATTTCCTAGCAACCCCTGGCTAAAACCATCGAACTTAGTTTACTGCAGAACTTTTCTGATTCACAAATTAGGTTTAATCAGTTTGCTGGAAGAATTTTTGACAGTTTTCTTGGGGAAAATTACTATATTTGCATTTCAGAGCCGTAGGAGTTCATTAGTAAGATCTAGCTCTCTGCTGGGCCCTACCTCTATTTAGGCATGCAGAGTTAACTTTGTGACTGTGTGTGTTTCAGAAAAGGCTGCACTGTACATGTATAATCTTTGCACTACAGCAAGGCCAATTTCTGGGCTAGCTAACAACAAAAGTTGTGATACTGAAAATGTCTGTTTTCCACCAACCTTAAATAAAACAGATTTCATACCCTTTACTCAAGTGACTGGCATGAACTAACCAAATGTATACTGTAGTGTTTTTGTATTATAACCTATAGCATGTAGATTTAATTTTTTTTTTCTCATGTATGCAGCGCTGGCGCTGGCCGCACAGGTTGTTACATAGTTATTGACATCATGCTGGACATGGCCGAACGGGAAGGTGTTGTAGACATCTATAACTGTGTGAAAGCTTTGCGCTCCCGGCGGATTAATATGGTCCAGACAGAGGTAAGTAATATAATTTGAAGATCTTATGACAATGCTGTAGACACTTTCTGTTTCCTGTCAGCGGTACTGAAGGTTTTTTTATGCCCATTCAGCTGTACACAGTCAGTGAGCATGCTTCTCCCTGTCTGCTCTCCTTACAGCTCCACTCAACTCTCTCTGCCCTGCACTCATTTGCAGAAGATTACCTTCTGTTTATTGACAGATCATGTACCACATACCTCTCTACCTGCTCTCATTCTGCAGCCATGCAGAGCCATTAGCATCTGCAGCTGCTTGTAATTGAGCAAATAGGCCAGAGAGATCTGACATTTTCTAAATCATTTTTGTGGATAAGGAAAGCTGCAGAAGTGAACTGACCTTGTGCTGACTCCCAACTGCCTGGATCACCCCTCCTCCTGCTCTAACCACCCTGGATGCTCCTCCTGGACCACTTGACCCAGCCAATCATGGTAAGTGACACCCGAGCACCTTCCTTAGGCTAACTTAACCCTTTCTCTACCTGACTGCCTGCCCACCCTGTCATGCCGTCCTTTCGCCTATTCTTTTGCCTTTTGCTCCAGGACTTTCTGTATGACACTTCCTCCCTACCACCCCCTACTTTCCTTTGTAGTGTTATATTCTCCTTCATTGTGGCTGCGCCTCTAACCCTTTGTCATGGTGTGCCTCAAATGCAGAACACAAACTCATTGGGGGGAATTTATCAGAACTGAAGCAGACAGAATCTGGAGCAGATGGCCAAAGTAACCAATCAGCTTTTATCTTTAATTTTCAAAACTTAACAAAGTGAAGAGAGAAGTTGCTTGGTTACTAGGATCAAATGCACCAGATTCTGTCTGCTCCAGTTTTGATATATTCTCCACCCCCCTGTGATCGCACATACACTGCACACAACATTCATAATTCGTAATAAGAACACGCAGTCAGGAAACGCACGCTGGGAGCAAAAATGCACAGAGCATATATAGGCAAAGGTCACACCATCTGAGCACATACAACGTATGCATTGCATGAACACCGCAAATAGGGAATGCAGTGCCTGCAAACACACAAGGCAGCACACGGAGTAAAGCTAATTTTATCTATGGTACAAATGTGGTGCTTAGTTGGCACACAGGTGCATTGTGTTCATCAACATTTAGAAGGCAAAGGCAAGATTTCTGGGCAAAAAAAGGGATGTCTGTGAGGACACAAATTATTTAGCATAATATTACAGAAAACATCACCGGTTCGGCATGCAAGCAATTTAAAACCATGTGAATGGCCTTGATTGCTTAATGCATACAAATAATCACTCTATTACCAGATGTTTGTTCAATTGACATTTATTAATGAAATAATCTGCACAGTATGTCTGCCATAGTGTTTGTAGTGTCATTCCCAATGCTTCTGAAGCCCTTCTGAAAGCGTGTACACTTAAAAGTCTGCATAAGCCACATCAGTAATGATGTTTGCATTTAAAGTAAAACACCATTCCAAAGAAGCCATTGAAAGAACAGACGCATTTTGCTAGTTATATTAATTTTCAATATGTTGACTATAGTGCAGTAATTATTTCATTTTCTGTGGTGTACTTAAATATTTTAAAAGCAATGTTATGTTAAATTGCAGAGGACCTTGAAATCCATTATCAGGAAGGTTATGAGATTTGGAGAAGCAGAAAAGAAAAAATTCTTTTAGCTATACAGGCAAAACTGTCATGCATACAGACATTTCATTCTAGTATGAAAACACTGCTAAACATTTTAGGGCTTGTATAAATACAGCATGCTTTATGTGCATTCCGCTTTCATATGAGATCAGCTTGGAACCCTAATTAAATCCTCCTGAATTCTTTACATAGTTCTGATGCACACAAATGTCCATGTACATAAGCCCTCAGGAGGCTTTTTTTGTGATTTGGGTTCAGTTTGTGTCCTCTAAAAATATAGGGCTGCACTGTGTTGAGGAACACGACATTCTGGAGAACCTTGTTTAAGGCCAATGGGTTAGCTTCTTTTGGACAAGTCACTTGTGTCATGGGAGAGCTACACTGAACACTAAATTGCCAAAATAGATTTAACGCTGTATACTGTTGATTTATTTATTTTGGAATAGGCTTACTTTTGTGAAAATCAATAATCATTACATGACCAAGACTTTAATTAGAGAAAGGATGTTTGAAATTTGTTTTCTAAAGATTCAGAACCTTTTACCAGTGTTGGTTTTAATGCAGTGTGAAATCATATTAAGTTACAATGCATTAAAAATGTAAATACTTTCTGATGCCTGTCTTTATGACATACCGGTCTTTTACAGGAGCAGTATATCTTCATCCATGATGCCATACTGGAGGCATGTTTATGTGGAGAGACTGCCATACCGGTCTGTGAGTTTAAAGCAGCATACTTTGACATGATAAGAATAGACTCACAGACCAATTCATCACATCTCAAAGATGAATTCCAGGTATTATCAGTATGTATTAGAGGCTTATCTATCTTTTGTCATATATGTAAGTTGCATGCCCTTGGTTGATGCTCCAGAATTGTTACTCATGCATCTGTCCACGTGTCTGAAAAAAAATATATTGATTTAATCATTTTATGCTCCCTCATTGTAACGTTCAATGCCTTTAGGTTGCTTTTTTCTTAAACGTTTTATCCAGACTATGCCACAAAATAATCTGTGTACAGAAACATGAAGCCGAACATTATTATGACAATTGCATAGTTTTATACACATTTTGCATGTTTGCATGAAACTGCATGACGTTTCCATAATATAAACATGATGATGAAATGTGTCCCATTACTGGCACAGAGCATGTTCATTGTGCTTCTACTAAGAAGTAGTAGATTTAAAAAAAACATTTCAGGCATGCACACACACTTCTCAAGGTTACATACTGTTGAGAGTAATAGATCATGTCATCACATTGCATACATCATTTTACATAATGCAATGCCCTGACAAGAGCGTGTTCCAATAAAAAATAAAAAGTCGCTTAGATATCTCAGGTTCTTGTCATGTATTTTTCATTTTGGATATGGTAAGTACATGTAAAAGTTGTAGAGTTCAGTTGCATTTGTGCATTTATTTTTATTTTTTTAACACACACTGGAAAAATTTAATTGACTTCTCTATGAAACTTGTGTTATATAGTTAAGCTTCAGCATGTAGTATTCCAAAAAAAAAAACTTATTCAAATAGTGGAATTCCAGCTAAAGTTAAAGGAAAATTCCTTTAGGGGGATACAGCAATAAAACCACGTAAGATCTACTTTTCAAATGAGCAGCTCAATGAGATCTACCAACGAATGGCACTGCAACGCACCTCCCGCACAAGAACACAGGGTAGGTGCAATTGCGTGGTATGTGCGATGAACGCATTGTTCTAGTGTGAACCTGCCCTTTGTCAGGCATAGCACTCTTACCAGAGGAGAGGTAAACTATGGGACTATTGTAATGGCCAAGATGTGTCCGCATTGCCAGCTCTTCCTTCCTCGACAGGTCCTCTTTAGGGCTGCTGCCACCCCATGAGACGTAACACCTTACATTGGTGGAGCACTAGAGGCTGCAGAGATAGCCTACAGCTCCCTACCTCCTCCTTCACTATGCTGCTTATCCTAGTGCGGCAGTCCTTCTGCTTGACTGAGCCGATTTGCGATCACGATCTACCAGCGTTAGCATTGCGATCAACCAATTGAACACCTGGTGTAGCTGATAGGATTCCTCCTATTCCTATTGAAAAGCAGACTTGAATTACTGAGCATTGAAGAAGGAAGTGTGCTCATTTTTGTGCACCTGCTGCAGCAACTGTGATTTTGGTATCGTTTTCAGCTGGCTGTTGGCTTTTACATACAAGTGATCAGGTGGCTGTAGAGCGGCATGGTAGGTGTGTGCCGCTTGTCTGGAGGGACACCCCTTCGCTCACTGATTTCAGGCTGTTATTTCTCCGTAGAATCTGGTTATCAGCATCTCTGGGGTCCATAGGTTACATTAGGGATCTCCATAAAGAGGACCTGTCCCTTCCTCTGTACAATCACTTTTTTTTGCATACATGCACTTAAGTTGGTGGGTAAGCTAGGCAACCGGTGTTTCAGAATGAAAAGTCAGCAATGACAGACTCCTTGTTTCTATAGGAAAGGTTTCATACAATGGTACACGGTTATATTCCCCTGTTAAATGCTACTTAGGTTCATTAGATTTATTTGTGGTGTTCGTGCAATTAGATGAATATTGGCAAATTAATAATTGTAGTTTTCATGTGTGAAGCTTTTAGTATGTACTTTACATGTCTAATGTCACCTTCAAAACCTTCATAGAATAGAATACTAGGGTGAAGCTCTTAGCGTTAGATTGCAGAAGATACAAATGTGACTCTGCTGTGTGTTCAGTAAAAGTGACCAGCAGCTTTATATTGGTAAACAGCATTATTGTATTATGTTCATCACCATTGTATCACATGCAATAAAATAATAATTTAGGGATGACTTCTTGCTTTGCTTGAAGCTGTTCTTACATCCCTGACTATAACAACAACTATTTTTTTTTCCATCTCAAAATCTTTGTGAATAATTGCATCTTGAGTGATTAAATGTTCCACAGTTACTGAATCATTCATCACAATCTAGACATTGTTATATATTGTTGTGATCTTAATAGATGTATTCTTTATTCCCTTGTAAGAGTATATGTTGCATGTGCACATTATCAATAGCAGTCTTTAAAATAGTTTCAGATGTAGCATTAGCTGTAGCATGAAGCAGAAACCTTGTCTCAATGATCACTGGGGCGGCACTGTGTCTCTAATGAATTTCTCTCTTACAGACTCTGAATTCTGTGACCCCACGACTACAAGCTGAAGACTGCAGCATAGCCTGCTTGCCAAGGAACCATGACAAGAACCGCTTCATGGACCTGCTGCCTCCTGACAGATGTCTGCCTTTCTTAATTACCATAGATGGGGAGAGCAGCAATTATGTCAATGCAGCGCTGGTGGATGTAAGGAGACCCCCTCTCTGTTTGATGTGTGTAGAGGACAGGAGTCGAGGCTGATCCAGCATGATTGATGAAGTAGTGCTACAAACTATTCCAAAACAAATAGGAAATTAATAGGCAGTAATTAAAGCCCTGTTGTTATTCACTAAAGTTGAATTCTCATGAAATACTGGCAAGTTGTTTGTCATTTTCAGAGTTCACCTCTTGTGGGAATGATTGTTTCACATGGCCCATTTATTTCCACTCTAGCTGTTAACACAAAGCCTGGAAGCATTCAAGGTTATAGAGACACAGGCCGAGGATCTCTCTGCAGCTCTGAGGCCACTGTTCTCTGTGAGAAGTTACAAAAGTGTTCACATCTTCCCAGATGTAATTTAGCTCTAATGCGTGCTACTCAATTTCTTATGTTCGTTGCTGTGAGATTTCCTATTCACATCTGCTTGCTTCTCTGACCAAATATCACTTAGAGAGCTGACTGTATCACACAAGCTGTTCTGTTAAGTCTGATTGCATGGCACGGGCAGGAGTACTTCAAAATCTGTAATTAGACAAATCAAATTGAGAAATATATTTTTTATGGACATACAAAACCTTTTTCAATTTACTATTAAAGTGACAAACTCAGGAGTTAAATCTTTTATATGCATTCAAGTACCTTGCTTATTAACAAAAATGTATCTAATTTCTGTAACATTCAGCTGTGGATCCTCAAATCATCTCTGAATTCCTACTGACACTGTCCCTTCTTCTGGAGGAAGCTCCACTGCTCCAAGCTCACTCCCGTGATAGACTGTACCTTTAATACAAATTAGTAAACTAAACATGAGATTGTAGTCCATCATGGAAGTGAGCATGGAGCAGTGTCTACTTTACAACACACACAGGGATCATGGTGAACAAAAGTAACCAGAAGGAAGGACAGCGTCGGCACCAATTCAGAGATGATTTGAGGATCTACAGCTGAGTGATACTCAAATCAGATACTTGAATGTATTTTTAAGATTTATCTCTTGAGTTTAGTGTCACTTGAAATGACTGTTACAGAGAGCAGAAACTGCCACCCTCTACGGTAGCATGTATCCTTGTTTACACATAACAAAACTGCAATACTGCACATTACATGTTGTTTGCTCGGCTCCATCTAAGCAATTTCTCAGGCCGAATAATTAATGGAGACATTAAACTGCAAATGGAGACTGTAATGATCTACATTAGGCTGAACATTTTATGTTGCATTTTGAACAGGCATTGCAATTTGTTTCATTTAGTATAATTGGTTAAATGTTATGCAGTAGACTGAAAGGCAGTCAAATGTAATCATGCCTTGCTCTGTGTTTATGGTACTGGGTTTCAAATATCTTGGCTTGAACCTAAAATATCCATTCATATTATGCTTTAGGATTCATTTATAACAACTCAATCTTATAACTTCTGTTTTGTTTGTAGCTGTGAGTTATCCGGAAAAGGACTAGCCAATTTTAGGTCTCTCTCTCAGCCGAGCTTCCATCCATCCTGCTAAAATAAGCACCTTACTCATCCAAAGAAATATAGCTACTGCCAGGGAGCTTAATTGGCAAATGTGTTTTAAGCACCTCTCTAGCTGGTTGGTCTAGGAAATGCATACATTCCATGTCATTTATAGCAAACCTGTACAGGTTTTCAAAAATTATAAACAGAAAGCAATAGTAGATAGCCAACAGCATACACTATAAGCACATATCTATTCCCTTTAGCGTTTATTACTCCATTGCCTTCCATAGAACAACTGCAGTCTCTCTTCTAATGGAGATTAGACATGCTCCCCACCTCCATACTATGTTGTAATGCCTGGTGCCTGAATTACATTTCAGCAGAGCTGGGCACTGCCATGGCGGAGGCTTGCCTGTGATACCAACCATTGGCTTAATCTGCCTAGTAGAGTGGTAAGTAAGTGATGTGGGTTTGTGCTGTAAAATATCTTATTGTGCTATTATCTTAGAATCCTTATTTTCCCTCTTGCTACACGTTAAGTAAGGGCTTTAACTACTGACTGTTGAAAACTGCTATCTGATGTCAGTGCTGACCAGCTATTTATCTGTGGCAGATGGAAAAAGCAAAACTATGAGCTACTGATGTACTTTTCTCCAGGCTACTTTTGTGGCTGGTCGCACAATCAAATGCTGGCGTAATGGTCATTTAGGCCCCGTTCCCACTGCGCGATATGCAAATCACGCGTTTGTCGCGCGATGTCGCGTTCAAGCTTGCATTGCGGCTAAATCCGCTCGAAAAAGGGTCCTGCTGTAGCGACACACGACCCGCGACAGCAGGACCCTTTGCCCCATTGGATTGCATTGGGGCGCGATATCGCGCGGTAATTTGCCACGATATCGCGGGAATTACCGCGTGATAAATCGCTCAATGTGAACGGGGTCTTAAACAGGTTAGGTTGTTGACCTTTAGGCATGGCCTGACAGTTGTCAATGTTGCCAAAATTATAATTCTCTACTTCTGCAGAGATAACATGACTAGCATTCTAGCACCACTATACCTCTTTTCACTATTTATGAATTTGAGTGAGATCATCAGGAGGGGGCACAGCGGCTTTAATAAATCTTAGACCTGTAGGGACCTGCATTCTGGCCAAGAGCAGGCTAATAATATTAGAAAGATGTGAAATATCTAATCTTTGTTGAGCCCTAAGCAGGTTTGTGGCAATATCAACCAGTTTTTTGTAGCAACTTTCCACCAACCGTTTGATTGTCACAGTTTCTATAGAAACTTTTGGTGGTAGGTTGCCTTGGAATGTTTGGTAATGTATGCAGTTGAAAGTGTTTTAAGTTAGAGCAAAGTTTCCTAGTGTTCAGCTAGGATAAGAGATGCAGCAAGATGACAAAAAAAGTTAAACGGAAACAACTGTGTTTGTCGTTTTCTGCAGAGCTACAGACAACCAGCTGCCTTCATCGTCACACAGCATCCCCTGCCAAACACTGTGAAAGATTTCTGGAGATTGGTATATGACTACGGATGTTCTTCTTTAGTGATGCTCAGTGAAGTTGATTTGACACAGGTAAGTTTGGTTTTTACTTGTGAAAGTACAACATGTAATGGCCTAGTTTCTTTTAAAATCCACACTTTTCTTACACATTTTGGTCTTTTGGCACAGGGATGTCCACAGTATTGGCCGGAAGAAGGCATGTTGAGGTATGGGCCAATCCAAGTGGAGTGCATGTCCTGTTCAATGGACTGTGATGTGATCAGCAGAATCTTCAGGATATGTAATCTGACACGGGTACATATATCATTTTTGTAAGATATTAAGGGCATTATGTTTCTAAGGTGTGCCACACAACTTTCCTCTATGTTTGTGCCATTTTGGAAGGTCAGTTTGGTTTACGTAAAGGGATCCTGATAGCGAGTGAGGGCACTGCCACTGTAGTCTTCATTTTTTTACTAGGCTGTCATTCCTATCCTTGGCTTCTTTAGGTAGTATGTTACTCACCCAAGACAATAATGCAGCTCTGGAGTTCGGACTTTGTTACATATTTGTAATTTGGTGTTAGTGACCCACTCTGAAGTTAAGCTGGGGAGATTGTACAGTCAAATTGTAACGTGTGGTCATCAACATATATATGGAAAAAGAACTCCGATTTCAATTCTGTAGCCTGTCTAAAGGTTCTCTGACAACTTGCATTATTAAGATTGAATTTAATAGTATTATCTAGTGTCACTAGACCCAAAAATACAATCCTTAAAGGAAACCTGTATTTATAAATACCTTTTCTGCGCCTTCACTTAGCTTTTCCACCCCTGTCTGCTATCCTGATAGGTGCTGCAGCCCTGTTGAAATTCTTGTGAATTCAGGTATGAGGCATATGTACACATTTTCTCTTCTCCTACGGTTTATTTTCTGGTGCCAGAGCAGGCAATTGCTGGGCCTAAATTTGTTTTCTATCGTCCCTGTTCACACACCATACATGTGAAGTGGCATGCAGAAAAACGCAGCTTAATCGACATGATACAAAATGTTTGGTGCCTTGGAAGTCAATTGCTGAGCCCACATGCTTTCTCTGGGTGGCTTGCTTAGTAGAAAGCAGGTTCTGATCACAGTCTATAGTAGGAGTAGGCAACCTTGGCACTCGAGCTGTTCTGAAACTGCAAATCTCATAATTTCTGTCCCACAGTGAGTCTTGCCTGTGGCTGTCAATTTTCTAATGCCTTATGGGACTTGTGATTCATGGCTTCAGTTAAGATGATATTCCACAAATGTTAATACACACTGTATGCATAGGTAGACCTACGCCTGTCATTGCAGTGTAATCAGTAAGAACTAAGTTTCTACATGGAGCAATTGAAAACTGGGTTCAACTTGACAACCAAACGTAATTAAATCTTGTTTAAAACATTTTTTATCAAAGTCTTGGGACAAGGTGCATGCATTTGGAAATGCACGTGGAAGCATCATGCAGTCCAAGATACCAATATATAGCAATGAATATATTAAAAGCCAGCTTCAGGCCTCAGATTTTGATGTTTTACTGCATCCATATGTGGGAAATATTCCCTTATTTTCTGCCAGAACATAATTTAATGAGAAATATCTCTAAAGGGGACAGATACGAAAACAAATTTTTAGTATAGTAGGGAAGGGTTAAAACTTCTGACTGTTTTTATTGCTCATTTTTGTTTAGGCATCCGTTAGACCAGAAGCGAGGGTAAATTTGACCAATGGAGTCATAGACAGAAATCAGTATTGACATTGTCCCCACTCTATGCAAAACACAAAAAATTACATGTAGTAGCGCTTTACTTCTTAGCTTAATGTTGATGAACGCACAGTTTAAACCCTTTTCTTTGCCTTAAACAGCCTCAAGAAGGTTATCTCATGGTGCAGCAGTTTCAGTACTTGGGATGGGCAGCTCACAGAGAAGTGCCAAATTCCAAAAGATCCTTCCTGAAATTAATCCTACAAGTTGAGAAATGGCAAGAGGAGTGTGATGAAGGAGAAGGACGCACAATTATTCACTGCCTGTGAGTTACATATTGAAACATTGTGTACTATTGTGTCATGTTTGTCAGCCTTTGATGTACTTACTGGTCTACCTGGTTTGTTTAAGCTGCCGAAAACAATGATACATGATTAAAAGTTTGACATTTGTGTGTGAATGTATTAGTTTATATTTTTTGTTAATTAATGTTTTGCTATGTCTTTTGTGCTAGGTGTAAATTGTTTATCATTGTGAAGTTTGGAAGTCTATATGAAAATTTCCATTGTCTTTTGCATACTAGGGGTTCTATTGTTAAAAAAAAATGTTTTATGTGTGAAATGTTACTTTCTGTTTGTCTTTCATAGAGTGAATGTAACATTCATTGGACCAATCCTCTTTGTTCCAATGTTGTCAAATCGAATATAATTAGAATGTGTTAAATATTATAAATGTTGTTGTGTGAGTTTCTCTGTTGAACATAAGCAATACTGGATGCAACATTTTCTAAGAGCTTTCGATCCTTACAGAGAATACCCTCTGTAATTCAATCCTTAGAGAAAATAGACTTAAAACTTTGGATCACAGGAAAAAACAATATAAGAACATTTGATCCTAAGAGAAAATAGAACATTCAATCACATAAGCTAAATACTCTTAAGAACATTTAATCAGAAAAGAAAATACCTTAAGAAAATGGGATTTTGGTCCATTCACACATACAGCCAGAGCTTTGGACATTGCTGCTGATCTATGTATTCCCCATTCATATATGACTATTATTCCTAACCTTCCTCCGTTTTATAAGAGGAAGGGGAGGGATCAACCATGCAAAATACTAGCATGCAATATCTGTGAATGGTAATCACAGCGATCACAAGGTACCGATCCGCTTGGTACGCAGTGATATGCAGGTGAAACCACAGCCCATAACATTTCACCAATACACCATTCATGAATGTAGTCTGGTAAAAACGAGGTTAACGCGTAGTATGATCAAAACTGGAGGGGCATAAATTCAATACCAGGTAAGAGAAATCCTAAATAATGAACACACGAGGGGGACATACGTATTTTTGATATACATTTAACTCCTCACACCATCATTCCTCGGATTATAAACAGTGTTTTTATAAAGACTTAGCTCAGAGACCCTGGCTTCTTATATCTCTGCAGTGAAATCTCCCTAGCGGCGGTTCATTCTCCCCTTTACCCCATCTAGTTCTCACTCCTAATACTGCAGCTCAGAAATCTATTTTTTTTCTGCTGCTTTACATATAATGTCAAAAGTATTCAGGTTGTCACATGATGTGTAAGACTTTCTTGTATTGGCCATAGCAGGTGCGTAGTTATGACATTCAGGTACAAAGATTCTGCCACTAGATGGCCAGGGGTATAGAAAGTTAATGGGTGTTTAATGCCTCTAGCCTCCTGAACTGGAATTTCAGTTTTGGGTTGACTGATATTTGTTTATTATTTGTTCATTAATTCTTAGGAATTACATTTTTCTTTGTGGGCACATTTTAACTTTTTATTTGTTTTAGGAACAGTGGAGGACGAAGTGGAGTGTTCTGTGCCATTAGTATTGTGTGTGAAATGATCAAGAGGCAAAATGTGGTGGATGTTTTCCATGCAGTAAAAACACTACGCAACAGCAAGCCAAATATGGTAGAGACTCCGGTGAGTGCTAGAATAATCACGGTTTACTAAAAATCTACTATGTTTAGATAAGCCACCCATGACATTCTATCACTAGTGTATGCAGTACATACTACATTTTATTATTATTATTATTGCTTTGTACTTTCCTTGATGTTTACTGAGTTTTCCCTCACTAGAAAAAAAAACCCACAGCTCCGAGCATTAGAAGATGCAAAATTGCCCAGTGAGGTTCATGGTAATTCGTTTCACTTCAATTTTGAGATTTCTGATGCGAGTACACCCCGCCATCTATTGGTCGTAGCACACAGAATATGACAATTTAACATTACTCTTTATTTTAATGTAGAAAGCTGTTTTTTGAAAAATAAGTAGGCTAACCATCAAAGTTTAAGACCTAAGACAACGCTACACTGAAAATCCTGTCATGTAGAAGCTAACTTATTAATTTTACAGCTTCAGAGGTAGGATCTGGAACTTCATTGGTTAAATATTTTCTACCATGTTCAATTATTCTGTCCAAAAATTAGAAAAAAAAACTCTCAATGTATGGAGCATTTGGGGATGGCAACCTGGTTTGACCAGAGGTTTACCAAGTTTGGTGGTAGTTTATTTAGAGCAGCTCTTTTTCCTGGATGTCTGGAGGTATTAAAAGTACAATGTATGTGTCTGATTACACTACAAAAAATATCAAATTTTCAACATTAGGGAGACGACCTCAATATTACTTCATGGGTCAAACATTTATGTTTGATGGTACAGGTATATAAAGAAACGGATTGTTAGGAGAGAAATAATAAATGTTTTTCAGTCAGACATGGGCCCTTTTATCGTCATGTAAATCAGTTTGACAGAACCAGTGAATGTAGATTTCAAGTTATTGCAATACTTTTTCTCCATTAGGTTTTATAGATCGTTGTAGCCACGACTGAGAAGAAATGTTAGTTCCTTAAGCTGGCCATACACCTTACAATTATCTGCAGATTTTCTGTGGTCAGATGGAAAAGGTTCAACAGATTCCTCCATCTACACTTAACTGTGTGGATGGAGTCATCTCCATCTGGGCCAATCTGTTGCACTTTTTCCATCTGACCACAGAAAATCTGCAGATAATTGTAAGGTGTATGGGCACCTTTAGAAGGTGGCTACTCTGTTTACAGCTGTTCTATAATATCTAATTTAGTTTGACCTCAATCTTCAGACCACAGTAGGAAAAAGTGAATGTATTTGGTTTGTAATATCAGTTGTATATCATAAATATGATCATTTTGGAACACTAAATTGACACAGTCCACTATTATTGTGGAAATGCATTTAAAGAAATTTCTAGATCCAATAGTTAAATTGAAATGTTTCCAAATAAATTCTTCATTTTATCTTGCAAATTGTACTTAAATGCCTTGTACAACATTTCATCCATATTTAACACTGCAAATCAATTCATGGTAATGTACTGTTTGCACAGAATGTGGTGTCCCCTAGGATCTTTAGCATATATCACTTTTGTTGAGGAAATAAAGGAACCGAGGCAAATTATGGAAATGCTGCAAAGCAAACATTTTTCAAATGAGCTGTGCAGTTAATGAGAAATAATGTTTGTTTGGATAATTGCTTTCTAATTATTTTTTTTATTTTTTTTATAGAGGATGTTAATGTGAGTCTATATATAAAAGAACATGTTTTGTTTCTAAAAAATCTAAATAGTAGTCAGTCTAATTCCATTTTGCATGTTAACATTTTATTCTCCAGTCTTACCCTATTGCTGCTGTAAGAAACTATAGCCAGTACATCAAGAAGCGGGTTTGTAATTTCTCAATGGAAAAAAGGAAGGCAATAGACTTTTCTTTTACTTTTAGAGTATAGAGGGTTTAGAACCTCCGTAAACCTGCTATATTTGTTCTTGGGTATGCGAGAGAGAATCTCTCCTCTTCCTGTCTGTATGATGTCAGTCAGAAAAGGAATTGAGAGGAAATCCCTACCAAAAGGCACAGGCAGTATTAAAAACACATTTTCTAGTGGAGTAAGAAGGTTTAGATCTTTTGTTGGGATGTTATTGCTGACTGTACCTTTTGAAGGACATTTCTGCTTATTTTCTTGCCAGGTAATGGTTGACCAAAGAAAAGAGAAATTTCCTCTACAGGGACACACAGACAGCCTTTAAATCTTCTCAACCGTGTTAATGATTCCCTAGTCTGTCTGACACTTAAAAACAAATCTTTCCCAGCCATTTCTGTTTTATACTCAGCACTGGGTTTACAGTGAGGCACAATGGGCTTGTGTTATAGGTGGCAACAGCAATTGATTTCACTTTTTACTCATTGGCAGAAATACAGTGCCGTGTGAAAGTATTCAACTCCTTTGGAGTTTTTCCTGTTTATTGCATTACAACCTGGAATTAAATAGATTTGGTGTTTGTGTACCATGTGATGTACACAACCACACGCCTACCACTTTAGGTGAAAATTCATTTTTATTGTGACACAAACAATATTAAGACAAAAAAACAAATCTTGAGTGCGCATTAGTATAAAGGCAATACTTTGTAGAGCCACCATTTGCTGCAATTACAAGCCTTTTGGGCTAGGTCTCTATCTTAGCACATCTAGCCAGTGCTCCAGCAAGTTAGATAGGTTGCATTGGTGCACAGCAATTTTTAAGTCATTCCATTGATTGTCAATTGGATTGAGGTCTGGGCTTTGACTAGACGATTCCATGACTGTTTCCCATTAAATCACTCCAGTGTAGCTTTAGCAGTATGTTTAGAAGGTTCACGTTCCACCATTGTCCTGCTAAAATGTCAACCTCTGTCCTAGTCTTAAATATGTGGCAGTCTGAAATAGGTTTTCTTCAAGAATTGCTCTGTTTTTAGGGCCATCCATTTATTTTTTTCAACCCTGATCAGTTTTTGATTCCCGCCAAAGAAAAGCATCCCCTCAGCATGATGCTGCCATCACCTTGCTTCACTGTGGAGATGTTGTTCTCAGGGTAATAACCAGTTTTGGGTTTGATATACACCAAGCATTTCCCATGATGACCAAAAAGCTTAATTTTAGTCTTATCTAACCAAGGTGGCTGAATACTTTCTCAAGGCACTGTAGTCAACTCATCTAAATGTATTAACATAATCACCATTGTTATAATTCTATTTAAGGAACAGTAAAACAAAAAATTTTATGTGCATAAAAGGTGATACTAGCAGAGGGAAAGGTTGCAGAGGTTGTGCACCTGCAAGCTACATTGATGGAAATCCATCCCCAATTTTACTCCAGTCATCCCCATCCCAAAGTGCTTTCTAGCATGGCACTGTAGCTTTCTGTCATTACTTATCATAGTAATGTGCTACCAACATTTTTTGTGGTTGGAGACTATCCGAGGAATTAAGCAAAATTATGCAATCATTAGTGTTATGTGTTGCAAAATGTACTATTGAAGTGATTTCTTAGTTTCACAAGGAAGAACTGTCTTTGTTGCCAATAGCAACTAATCGGTTTCCTTTTCATTCTTGCAGTACAGGTTAGAAAATGATGTAAGAGGAATTGGTCCTTTGCAGGCAATACAAACACTTTGAGGAATGCAATCCTTTTTATGACTGGATTATCATTGGCCTTTTTATTTTAAGTGAAATTCCTTTTTACTTTTGATGTTGCGTTTTAATTAATTTTAGCTTTATGAAATTTAAAACTTCCAGATTTTAGTGGATATAATTGAATATGGAAGCGTGCTGTTAGCAATAAAAGAGACACTAAAATAAATAGAGAAGGCAGTTTGTGTTTATTTCTGTGCGTTATTGACTTGTTCAGAAAACTTGGCTCTCATATTAACAAACGTGCTTCGTTCTCACATACTGTTATATCCACGAGCCAAGACTAACCGTGCTGAAGTTAACACACTGTGCCTGCTGAAGATCAGGTACTAACTCATTTTTATGATGCCGCTCGGCTGTGAAGTCAAAGGTAATGTGATTTACACATACTGTTGCAGTATAGCAGAGGAGAAAAATACGACTTTACATTTCCGACACACACTTGAACACATTTTTCCAAGAAATGTGTCTAGATATAGGTAGTGCGGTGATCATGGATGTATTAATTTGTGCTGGCATCTGTGGCACGTTTTTATCATCGTGGAGCCCATTTCAAATGCTTCATTAATTTTATTTTTATTTGTCCTTGATAGCTGTGATCAATGATTAGCTAACCTTTTGTAACCCATAACTTTCCTGAGCCCCATCTTTTACTGTTCTTATGTGACAGCCTATGTACTGCAATAAATACCATACTTGCATTCGGTAAATGTTTCAGCTCTTGGAGCAGAACAAAATCTATCCAATCATATATTCCCAAATCACTAGGCGCTGCACCAACATTTTTTCACTCTGCTTTCATATTTAGTAACTGAGCTCAAATCCAGGTAACACATTTAGGGCCACGGCATTGCAGTTAACGCACAATGCAGCAACAAAAGACTTGGCTGGGGTTAACCTTTAATCTGAGTTTTATATATTCCCCTAGGCTAGGTTACTGTGCCCTGCGACCTAAATTTTGCAGCCCATTCATAAATTCCAGATTGCGTGTGCAGTCTGAGGTATGTTGCAGAGCTCTTTGTGCGTAACACAGCAAAGTGAACTCTGTGATTGAAGAAGACTTTGACTTTGAAGGGTCATGTGGCAGGCTTTTATTTTTATTTTTTTAATCATGCTCCTTGCTTTGGAGTACACCACTGTGCTTATAAATGTGGTGTTTTTTTTGTTTGTTTTCGTTTTGTTGTTCCAGCCAGTTAGCAGTTGTTAACCCAACCCCCTCCCACCATCCCACAGGCTCAGTTCTTATATAACATTTTTCATTTTGATTTTAGGGTCCTTGTACACAGTATAAGGTAGATATAGCCATTATGATAATTTGAAAATGGAGCCCTGCCCTGTTTCCTCAGGCATTGCTATCTGATGGCCTCTCTATAAACCTAAACACTTTGCTGAGCCAAGAGTTTGATTTTTTTGGCTTCTGCAGAGGAGGCATGAAGAGATTCTGACCTAGAACTGCCTCCCAAAAGTGTCAAATTGTATAATCCTTCTCAAGGTCCATTTACAAACGCTGAATCTGATTCAGTACACTTTTCTGTGCATTTCAACTTTTTGCAAAGCACACTGAAACCAAAGCACTCAAGGACACCACTGCTAACCACTTCAGTCAACTTTAGAATGTCTACTCTTTTTCAGGTTTTACCACAAAGTTGTGTGGTCAATAATATTAAAGATCTAGCAACCAAACTAGGAAAGTGCTCCTCATGCAGATTAGTATAGACATCTGTACACAGTATGGATTCTTATAACCCTTCTGAGTAAAAACACTACATTTCCACAGTTTCTTCAGCTTGTTGTGAAAGTTCATCTATGTTCTTAATTGCTAAATGTTATAAGAAGGCTAATATTCTTTTATTTTTGTTTTTAACAGGAACAGTACCGTTTTTGCTATGATGTTTCATTAGAATATCTTGAATCGTCATAGTTGGATGTGCCAACCTGCACCTAACGCTCGGACAGATATTACTCCAGCTGTGCAAAGGGGGATTTTTACACAGGACCTTAAACGTTTTAAACAAACAAAAAAATCAACTACGAGAAAGTATTTTTCTTATGACTTTCTGTATCTTCATAAAAGGACTTGAACTGTTTTTATGACTGTATAGAGTATTGATGGATCTAGTGCCACATGATCACAAACAGTGCTGGAGGCAGAAGCTGGACAGTGTCTGTCACAAGGATTTGTATGTATTTGTATATGCAGCCGTCTCATGAGACAACCTTAGAGCCAATATGTTGCATGTGTCTATATTTACGATGTGGCAATTTTCTCCTTTTTAAAAAACTTTGTTTAAAAAAAATACAATGGAAAGCCGTGCAGATTTGGCGGTCAATTCTCTTTACATTTCAAGTGTCACCAATCTGTACTTGGCTTACTATTTTTTTCATACATTGATGGCTGGATCATACCATATATATTATTTTGGAAAAAAAATCCCTAACATAAGCCAAAGAGTCAATTGTAAATATGTCAATATGGAGAAGCACACTCTGTATTTATTGCTTATTTACATTCCTTTCTTTTGACGGCTGAAGGAACAGTAATTTTTCCTGGGGAAAGCTTTTGCTGAAATTGACGGCAGTTTATTTTTGTATGTATTGAGTGTAAGTAAGAGGCATCTGTTTTCTGCATTAACCCAAAAGCAATGTTTTAAAGATGTTTTGTTGTGCTCATGCTGGTGAACTCAAGTTTATGTGACTGATTTGGTTCTGGACCATCTTTAAAAGCCGGACCAAAGTGATGTACAGTTTTCCACAAACACTCGTACCTATGGATCAAGTTAATCTTACTCCTTATGGGAAATCAATGCTTACAAAGCTTTTAGATCCGAGACCTGGGCCACATTAAATTCTTAATGGAAGATCAAGAAACTTAAACATCGTGGTCCAGGCAATTAATGCCTATGGTTAGCACATTGTATCAAAATGTGTATCTTGATGTTTACATGGCTTTAAGCTTTGGGCTCTCAGAAAAACAATTTGAAATAAATATTCTATTCCAGGTGTGTGAATTGTCCAGTGTTTCAAAGAGAACATTCCTGTAAGTGGAGTGGAGATTACTTATGTACAGATTGTGTAGATATATAGGGACCTCTGAAGTCCTGGGACTTATTTATCTGTACATAATGAGTAATTCCAGGCATTTGGTAAGCCACTTATACTTTACAGTAAATGCAGCACCTGTGCTGACTGTTCTGACTATACGTCAGAAAGTTTCTATTTACCTTATTCTAAGTTCTGTGCAATTCCCTGCAGAATTAACATACACACATCTTTACAGAAGTATAAGGGTAGCGACAGTGTACTTCCTAAAGTCTACTACTACTTTCTAAAGCCTACTACTACTACTTGCTAAAGCCTACTGTAGTTCTTCAAGCATGATTCATCACATTTCAAAGCAGGTTTAATCTTTCATTTTCAGTGGGGTGTACCTTCAAAATGTGTAGGGTGACACTGAGGGGCCCTGTTCCCAGTTCAGCTACCTGTTTACCCGCCCCCCCCCCCCCCCCCCCCGAGTGAATCCCTTGTCACTACAGAAATGCAAACAGTGCATGAAAATGAATGGATCCTCAGCTGACTTTCCTTCTAGGTGGTGTCACTACACGTATTTAACAATGGCTCCAGAAGAGAGTGAGACCTGCCTGCAGGACTCCCCGCTGTGAGTATAGTGGGCCACAGGTGTGAGATGACAGGCCACAAAATTGTGTCAAGATGGGAATAAATGGGATTAATATGCAGTACTTTGCAAAAGTTGTAGGCAGGTGTGAAAAAATGTGGTAAAGTAAGAATGCTTTCAGAAATAAGAGTTAGTTTCTTTTTTATCAATTAAGAATATGGAAAATAAATGAACAGAAGAGACACCCAAATCAATATTTGGTGTCACCACCTAGGGATGTCCCGATGCCACTTTTTCAAGACCAAGTACTTTCCCTCAGTTACTTGCCGATACCAATTACTGATACTTTTTCTTAAAGGGACATGTGAAATTTTTTCTAAAACAATACAGAAGGATGATTTTAAGGCAATTTCTCACCAGAGCTAAATACAGATGTACAGAGAGACAGTACATGTCCACAGAGCACAGTACATCCCAAGGCTGTGATCTCTGCTGGGTTCTATGGCTATGCTGTTGAGAGTTGATAGGGCGGGTGCCGGTGTCTGGGGCTGTACTGTGCTGTGTGGGGCTGTACTGTGCTGTGTGGGACTGTACTGTACTGTGCTGTGTGGGACTGTACTGTGCTGTGTGGGGCTGTCCATGGCTGTGCTTGCACCGGAAGGAGGAGCAGGAGATATAGAACTGGACAGCCACTGCCAGGGACGGCTACTCCCAGGTCTCGCAAGCGCAGGAACTCAGCAGCCACTGCGGTTTAAAAATTTTAAGGGCCGGTATTGGCCTTAAGAATCGGGGTATATTCGCGCATACAAGTACTTGTATCGGTATCGGGACATCCCCATCGCCACCCTTTGCCTTCAAAACAGCTTCTTTTAACAGATTATTCTAGGTACACTTGCACACAGTTTTTGAAAGAACTCAGCAGGTAGTTTGAGCCAAACATCTTCAAGAACTAACCACAGATCTGTAGATGTAGGCTGCCTCAAATCCTGCTGTCTCTTCATGTCATCCCAGACATACTCGATATTAAGATCAGGGCTCCATGGGGGCCAAACCATCACTTCCACAACTCCTTGTTCTTTATGCAGAAGATAGTTTTTAATGAGTGTCTGCAGCAACAGTGAAGAATGGTGGAGGTTTCTTGCAAGTCTGGGGCTGCATTTCTGCAAATGGAGTTGGAGATTTGGTCAGGATCAATGGTGTCCTCAATGCTCAGAAATACAAGCAGATACTTATCCATCATGCCATACCATCAGGGAGGCTTGTGATTGGCCCCAAATTTATTCTGCAGCAGGACAACGACCCCACACACACACAGCCAATGTCATTAAGAACTATCTTCAGTGTAAAGAACAACGGGGAGTCCTGAAAGTGATGGTTTGGCCCAGTGAAGGTGGCCTGGTTTGATGAGTCACGTTTTCTTACACACTCAGGCATGCACGGTGTATGTGTATTGCTTACCTGGGGAAGAGATGGCTCTAGGATGCACTATAGGAAGAAGGAAAAGCTGGTGGAGGCAATGTGATGCTTTGAGCAATGTTCTTTTGGGAAACCTTGGGTCCTGACATATATGTGGATGTTACTTTGAAATGTACCACCTATCTAAACATTGTTGCTGACCCCTTCATGGTAACGGTATGCCCTGAAGACAGAGGCCTCTCTCAGCAAGACAATGCACCCTGCCACACTGCAAAAACGGTTCAAGAATGGTTTGAGGAACACCAAAATGAGTTTAAGGCATTGCCTTGGTCTCCACATTCTCCAGATCTCAATCCTATTGAGCATCTGTGGGCTGTGCTGGAAAAACAGGTCCTATCCACGGAGGCCCTACTTTACAACTTACAGGACTTAAAGGATCTGCTACTGACTGTTTAGTGCCAGCACTGACCTAACAGCTTTGATTTGCCAGTGTCCAATCACCTGAAGGTAGCTACATAACATGTTGGTTTCAGAAATAACTCAATGTGTCCTGTGATGTACTCCATGAAACAGATCGTACCAGTAAGACAAACATCCTTTTTTTTTTTTAAATAAACTTATGAATACGTTTCATGGCCTTTTTTCTTTTTGGGACTATATTCTCTTCTGATTTAAGTTCAAGCAGTAGGTTTATGATTGAGTACTGTATAATCATTTTTTCAGGGGGCAGTAACAAGCTCTTTTGGAGATTTTAGAAAATCTCCTTGTGAGTCCCAGAGCAAATGCTATGAAGCAGAGGAAATAATGAAAGTACCATGTGCATGCTGCTATCCATGTCAAGCAAGGATTGTTCTGTCAGTTCATGCAAGGATGGGCAGATTCTCCCTGTCTGTTATTCTTGCCGATATATCTGCCTTTCTTTGACCAGCCTAATATAACATTCTGTTTCTTCACTTATGAATTTGTAAGCAGTTTTTCAGTCCATTTAATGCCTCTTCTTTTTGTGCTTCATACCATGGTATGCATTACAATCATGGTAATAACGAAGAATACAGAGTGGTGGGAATTCCCTTGCCGTGCTTGATATATGTGAGATTTGTATTTTTCAGTTTGATCTTACTGGCAGGAGGATGAGACTGCTGCTGCTGTCGCCTTGTCCCTTTTGACATGGGATGCACCAGATACACCTAAGTACTGTACACTGTGATAGGTGATGTAACCTGGTGGCATCAGTGAGCCCTTCAAATTGTTTCAATTTTCCACTTTGTTGTCCCCACTACACACATACTATTGTTATATGTTTTAGCCCCAGCATATTTTGTACTACTGTACAGAAAACACTGAACCATATACACTGATTTATGGGCCACGTGAGTTTACTTTCTAATGTCAGAGAACATGACTTACCCTTACCCTGTATGTGGAGAGATCATTCTTGGGAATTCCAAACTGAAAAAACAAAAAATTGGGACCTTAAAAGTACATATAACCATATACAGTAAGAATCGATATTTTATTAACAAATCACATTAAATTAATACTATAAAAGTTTATTGTAATGCTGGTACAATGTATACACTTGCCAAAGGTATTGGGACACCCCTCCAAATCATTGAATTCAGGTGTTTCAATCACCTACATGGCCACAGGTGTATAAAATCAAGCACCCAGGCATGCAGATTGCTTCTACAAACATTTGTCCATCCGTTAATGTGAGTGTAAAGGCAGATGTCCTAATAGTGTATGTTTCCAATACCTCCAAGGGTCCCACCATCAATGTGAATTTTAAATTTGATTGTCATATCCTTTTATTATGGAACTGTAGCAAGCACTTATGAACAATGCATTTCATGAACGATGTTCACTTCAGGAGTAACATGGAGGTAGCTAGGTGCCTAGGTTATACATTGTAAATACAGTGGCAAGACAAAGTATGTGAACCCCTTGATATTAACTGGTTTTCTGCAGTAATTTGCCATAAAATGTGATTTGATC